TTGGCAAGTGCTGAGAAGAAGCGCCGCAACAAACTCAGTCACCACTGTCTGCCGGTTAATATAAATAAATAGAAATAGTAGTAGTAGGTACATTCGATTCAGGAGCAGTTCACTGAATTTACCATGCATTCTTGTATGGTGTATCATAATTAAGTATGGGTATACAAGATTGCGTGGTATATTAAACGAGGTAGTGACGTGCTAATATCTAGACTTACATATTAAGGTACTAGTAGAAATGACTCGCATACATAAATTTGAATAACTTGGATTGACCAGTCCCCGAAAGCAGCGCCTGTTCACAGACATGACGAGTGAACCAGCCATCGCTTCACTCGACCATATTAGAGGGAATGTAACGACCCGCCTCACTACGCCACCACCCCAGAGACATTTTAGTGAGAATGACAATTCCAAGTTATCTCTTTAAAANTTTTCCTTTTTCCTTTCGGTCCCTTCCATATGGTTGACTCTAGTGTCCATCGTTTGTCTGTGTATCTTGCTATATGTCCTGCCCACTGCCACTTTTGTTTTAGGGCATATTGTAAGGCGTCTATAACTTTCGTTTTTCTTCTTATTTTTTCGCTTTTTACTTTATGTATTCTTCTTAATTTCATTACACTTCTCTCCATCGCTTTCTGGCATACTACTAGTTTACTTTTTATTTTATTGTTGTATGTCCACGTTTGGCATCCATACGTAAGAGTAGGCAAGATACAGGTGTCCAGGACAGTTTTCTTTAAATGGAGAGGAAATTTCCCTTTTACAGTGGCAATATATTGTATTTAATATTTATAAGCTGTTCTTGTACAATACATAATATACTTACTTACATCAAAATAATAATGTTTCAGTGCCAAACCTATTTAACTCTCTTTTCAGAGCTAAGTAGGTAGCCATTTTTGTTGACATAGTCAGACCTAGATCTCAAGTTATGAAAATTTTGTACTAACTGCAGGTATACGTATACGAGTACCTATTAATTAATCTAGTAAGATAGGTACTCATAAAAATCGATATAATAACGATAACAACTACCGAAAATTCCCAGAAAGTATATCTACTGTCTGATTATTTTTGTTTGTAGCTACTTTGTTTCAGCAGCTTACTCGTGCTTACCAAAGCTTTCGGTTAGCTTTAAAATCCTGCTTTATAGCGACGTAAACCCGCGCAACGATTTCATAACAAGCGCAGCGTTTTGAGGGCTTTTGTAAGTGAAACAAACTATGTACCGAGATAAGGAGCCAATAAGCAGTAACGAATGCAAAGCCGAGCGGCCGGTTATGGCCGCGGGCATTAGGGGTGCCAAATGCCAAGGCTGCATAAGCTGCCAATATGCATAGCGTATTTAGTAAACGCTAATACTCTAATACCCACAGATAAGATAATACTCTAATGGATTGTCTGTGTTTCAGCCAAATAGTGTCCATTGTCCACTGCTGGAGAAAGGCCTCCTCCAAGGATTTCCACAGCGACCGGTCCTGCGCTGACCGCATCCAGGACCTTCACCAGATCGTCGGTCCACTTAGTGGGAGGCCTATCCGCACTATGTCCTCCAGCCCGTGGTCGCCAATCGAGACCGTTTCTGCCCCAACAGCCATCGGCTCTACGAGCTAAGTCCTGCCCACTGCCACTTGAGTTTATTAATTCTGCAAAAAATAAAACATGCCTAAAAAGTAGTTTTCTACAAGATAGCAACACCTACGTAGAAAATACAAAAACTTCAGAAAATATTTCCTCCACCATCCAATTTGTTAGATAAAGGATAATAAAAGCGTGTCGGCTGGCAAGATATCGGCAATTTGCGGGTGTTTGGCAACCCTAGGCGGGGGTCAACTAGGCTGTTTGCCGTAATAGAAGTCTGGAGCCTGCGGCGGACTGGGGGTTAAACACCGAAATTGATAGAGATTCGCGCACATTATGCAGATACGATGTAGCTTGCGACTTTAGGATTAGAATTTTGATAAGGCTTACCTAGAACTGTATGAAATTAGTGCAATGTTGTCTTAAAAAAAGTTATTCTTAGACAGTAAGATTTTCGAAATCTTCACTTCAATATAATATTATGTCTAGAGTACCTGTATATTCGTCTTAAAACTTTTACCAGTTAGTCTGCGTTTATTCAGCAAGTAGATATCTCTGCCTTAGTTTTGAAGAAACAAAATAATTATGTTCCTTTCTTGGAACTACTGTCCCTTTAATAAGTAGGTATTTTTCAATTAGAAACGTTTCCACGACGACATTGCATTCATAAAGTATCGGATACTTCCAGTAATCAGTAGCCTTATTGATTCTCTACCATTATAGACATAGCGCAGTGGAATCAGTCTGTATTTCAAATGTTTTTTTAGATACCCCGTAATATGAATATGGACCATATCTAAGTAACCAACAACTAATATTTTTAATAATGAGGCAACAATCCTCTTTTGAATTAAACCATATTATTTATACAATTTCTTGTAAAAAATTAAACTGCCAGCAGAATATTACTTGGGATTTGATCTACCAATGCATACCTGCTTTATATTGGACTTCTTGAGTCAGAAAATCAGCTCAGTCATCAAGCTTAGTCCTGTAGATGGAATCACAGGCATATCTTGGAACCCTCTATTCACTTAGCCCGACTGTTTTTTTCTAACTGTGGTTAAGCGAAGAAGAAAACCCCGTTACAAATGAGCCCAATATAAGAACTTAACCTCGAGTGCAGGGACAAATGAGCTCGATTTCTCCGTGAGCTCATAGGAATGAATGACTCCATTACATTTAATCAGAATCGACGTTGTGATTTACATTGGAAGCCTTTTGGGGTAAATTTCAGAATAAGTAACAGTATACAGGGTGTTAGGTAAATGGGTATATGAGCCGACACTAGCCCATGTTAACATGGTCATATAAAATGGTATGGTGAAGTCAGAAATTTGATTTCATTATTTTCATTTTTTAAATTTTCATACAATTTTTTTTTATAAAATCCGATTTGTATGAAAATTAAAATAATTAAAATGAAGATATCCATTTTCTGACTTCACCATACCATTTATATGCCCATGTTAACATGGACTTGTGTCGGCTCATATACCCATTTACCTAACACCCTGTATACCTACCTACTTCCAAAATGTAACCTATAGGGATTTTGAAAACGCTCAACACATCTAATTTGATCTTTCAAACCCATGCATTGTAGAGTAAGCACAACGATATTCAATATCTAGGCATTTTTTTATTTTATAAGTTAACATAGAGGTCTAAAATAAGGTATGCTTAAGTATAATAAAGAGTGAAAAGGGTGAGCATAAATAAAACCCATTGCTACTACATATGTGTACAAAACTACAAAGCTTCATAACGTAAAATTTTGTCACAACGTAGTCTAATAATGTTGGCATTTATTGAAGTTTACGATGAAATTGCTAGAAAACATAAAAACATTATTAATAACTTGTATTAAGTTACACATTAACGTCACAAAGTAACTATGATATAAAAGCCTCAGCAAAATTGAGATAAATTAATTTTAAGCTAATAAAAAGTGTTTATGCCCATACGGGTAATTTTATGTGCAATATGTTAGGCGTAGAATCCGGCGAAAGTGCCTTCAAACAATATTAACTCAATATAGTTAAACTTTTATGTTGTCTTTATTCTAGGCCTTACTTTTAGCACCTACACGGAGTCTCAAAATTGGATACATAACTTTGACAGTTATTGTCTCAATTGTCTCAGTGCTCATACGAAACAAGGTTCAAATCTCGGTCCAAACTCTAGTAAAGATGTCTCATTGTGATTGGTCTCTAAATAATAAATCGAGAATTAGATCTTTCCTTGAGACTGAAAGCTCAAGTTTCTCAATTTCTGTGTTTGAATGCACTTAAACTATGTACTGCACATTTTTGATAAAATGGTACTATGTAGTCTTAAGTCTGTTCAATTTCAGAAAAGACCTTTCGTCGCACAAATTGTCTTAGGGCTTAAAAGTTTGGAAGAATCAAAAAATGTTGCAGAATGTATAGTCTTATCATCTTCTCAGTTCAGTAAGCTCTGATTGTGAGTTCATATTTTATTAGGCACTAAGGCCATTCGTAAACACATCAATCGCCGGTTATCAAAGCTTAAAAGTAATAAATTAAGTTAACAATTAAATTATATTTTACATTATTATTATTGCTTTTCCCATCAGTCTGAAGTAGGCAAAGAAATTAATATAATATTAAAAATCATCCATTAATAAGAGCTGACTGAAATATTATTCTTTATTCATCCACGTCAATGTTTTATTTTAACTGTCTACACTTAATGACGTTTAAAATAGCGTAACTAATTGCATTAACTTCAGATGACAAATGGTTTAATCTATATATATAAAAGAAAGTCGTGTTAGTTACTTCGCTTATAACTCAAGAACGGCTGAACCGATTTAGCTGAAAATTGTCAGGGAGGTAGTTTAGAGCCAGGAGAAGGACATAGGATACTTTTTATCCCGTTCGAAATAAAAAAAGTCTGCTTATTTATTGCCATTAAGGCGGAACAAAGTTCGCCGGGTCAGCTAGTTTTAAATAAAGTATAATGTTATTTAAAGCTAGATAAACGTTATATTAAAAGGATGTCTAATGAATCGAGACACTAGTCGAGTTTAATAGAATTCCAAAATTAGTAAAAGCTAACCATTTTAGTGTTTTATTTAATGATCTAGCCTCTTGTTTTAGTGTTTGGCTTTTTTTGCAACTACGAGTATCAATTAATATTAAATATCCATTTATTTTAAAAACTTTATTAAGTGGGTAACGTTTGGTTAAAAGTATCTTAAAGTATACTTTAAGATACTTTGTGTTTGATGTTAGATTTGTGTAGGCATTACAATTTGTTCTCTAAACAAAATGATTTATTTATGTTAGTACTATTGAACGAGCGTGCATAGCGATAATTAACGACACTAATTATTATTGATGTCGTGCAGACCGGTATATTTATTAGTTTTCACAAGCAACAGATCAGTGGCTAGCTAACCGTCATTTAATATGGATCCACATAATATTCAACAAAGGAATATTTTAGAAAAAGTTCTCGCCCGGGTCGCTGAAAAGTTATACATACAGAGATGGCGCTACGAAGTCAAAAATGCAATGCAGGATATTGTTAACTACGTCGGCTGTCTCATCCCTGTCATGCTGATCGACGATTCCCGTGACGTCACAATACCTTTGATGATAAAACTCAATGAAAGTCATACCGTGCCAGAAATGGATCATTTATTCAGAGGAGCTTACAACAGGGAGGTTTACGTCTATTCGACATTAGTGCCGCTGTTTAAGAAATATGCGAATGTGCCAGAAGATTTCTTCCCGTCGTGTTTCTATGCGGAGTCCACAAATGACAGAGTCTTAGCACTGCACGATATGACTATAGATAAATTTGAAAGATATAACAAAGGAAGATTCTTAGATGAGGATCATTTAACCCTGACTTTGGAAGCTGTTGCCAAATTACATTCGTTTTCCTTTATTCTGAAAGAATTGAATAAGCTGAAGTGCGATGAAATCATGGAACCATTTTCGACACAGAATCAACCCCACTTTGCCAAAAGTTTGAAAGGGTGTTTTAAAAAATATGGTGTCGATATGTTTCAAGGCACTAAGCATGAAAAGTTCTTTATTAAAATGTACAAGACAATGGACAATATGACTGTGTTTTTTGATGAACCTGTAACAAAAGCACATTCTTTGATTTACGGGCATGGTGATCTCTACAAAGAAAACCTTTTGTTCAAATATTCTGTAAGTATCTAAATAATCATGAAATTCTATAGGAAAATATGTTACTTTTTACGTTAAAAGAGTGCGTTAATTTTTATGCTACTCTTATGAGACTAAGAAAAATATAAGACCCAAAATCTTTTGATTCATAAGGTACTCTATTCTGTAGATCTTGGACTTATAGACTCGTTTACAAAACGACATCTGTATTAAAAATATAATATTTTATTTTTCAGAACGAAAAGCCAGTGCAAGTATGTCTACTGGACTATCAGCTGACCCATCTAATGAGTCCAGCGTACGACTTTGTACTCCTAATTATGAATAGCATTGATTCAATTGTCAGAAAGAGGCATTATCATATTTTTTTGTCTACATACTATAATACTCTGGAACGCTCTCTGCGAGCCAAAGGGGTAGATGCCAATAAAGTTTATTCAAAAGAAAATTTCAACGAAGACATCAAAGTAGTGTTTTCAATGTGTTTCGGTATGATTATCTATTCATTTACACTGTGGTTAGACTTAGAAGGTATGGAATCTCTTGTAGATCCCAAAGGCATTGATCCAGAAGACAAAAAGGATGAGGTCGAGTTATTTAAGAAGATAATCGGCGATGTAGTCACAGATTTTAGGAATTTTGGAGTGTATTCTTAGCATTTTGTGGTTTTTAAGAGTTACCTATAAAATTATAATGACATTTTCAGTCTGTAAACATTAAAATCTTTTTATTTGAAGTTTCTTTCAATGATAAAAAAACATCGTAACCGATATTATAATCACATGTGTTTACAAACAAACGATTGATATAAAAGCATGAATATTCAGAGGGCCGTCACGTTTATTGTGACTCGGAAAAGGTTATAACGAAACAATAATCCAATTTGCGATCTTCGCCATTACATTTTGCACGTTTTATTTTCCATTCGGGAGGTTTCCAATGAGATTTGGGATAGCGATGTGAAGTATCGAGGTATCGATTAATTTTAATACTCGTTTATTGCGAAGTGATTTTTATTATGGATTTTTAAAGCTATTATAACATATTTTTTCATGTCACATGTTGGTTGTGACCGAACCTGTAAGTAACGTTTCCTATTTAAATAATAATAGCAATTGTACCTATTTAGGTTGTTGTTATGTAATGTTTTGTATGTCATGTAGTTGGTATACCTAAATCCCAACTAATATTATAAATGCGAAAGTAACTCTGTCTGTCTGTCTGTCTGTCTGTCTGTCTGTCTGTCTGTCTGTTACGCTTTCCCGCTTAAACCTCGCAACCGATTTTGATGAAATTTGGCATAGAGATAGTTTGAGTCCCGGGAAAGAACATAGGATAGTTTTTATCCCGGTTTTTGAAACAGGGACGCGCGCGATAAAGTTTTTCTGTGACAGACAAAATTCCACGCGGGCGAAGCCGCGGGCGGAAAGCTAGTAAATAAAATAAAAATAAAATAATGGTCTCATTTCACTCCAAGTTACTGTAAAATAGTTTTTAAATTGAATCTTTAATTAAAGTCTACGAGAAAAGGACCACCTTGCCAGGAAAGGAGGCCTGTAGGTGAATAAACTTTACATAAGGCAAACAAAAGATAGGAATAAAACATTTTTTTTCCTGCTTGAATTTATTTATCGACAAGTACAAAGCGGGCACATCACTAATTTGGGAACAATAGAGGTGGCGGGAAATCGCCGCGATGTGGATTGTTCATTTTCGTTTTGCATATTATTATTATTTAAATCAGGCAACCCTTCTCAGTGACACCTACGTATTCATTAATCGCGCGGCTTAGCATATTTTGACAGTGATACAATTGTAATTGACCAATGTGGTGTGTGGGAACGTTTTTGGAGATTTTGATCTTAACCGTTTCTTGACCTGCAGGTCTAAAAGACTATTATAAAACGACAATCAAAGCTCAATTCAAGCTCCAACAAAATTAATTAATTTACACAAATAAATAAAAAATAATAAATAAATACTTATCCTTAGACATTTACACTGCGCTTCTAGTCCCAAACTAAGCAAAGCTTATACTATGGGTACTAGATAACGGATATGTAAGTACATACAATACAATATAAACATACAAGATACACAATCACAGGTGTACTTTAACTAAGTACACTGTGATTGTGTATCTTGTATAGTCCTATTTAGTTTAAAAGCAAGATTTGACCATTTCATAATATAGGCCTAAGAATTATTGTAGTGTTTAGGTAGGTAAGTTAGTCCTAAATGGGCATGGGACACTCATTTTCAAGTAAGTGCTCTAGTAGTCAAATGTCTAATTAAACTACTTAGTATTAAACGTTCCGGGTAACTTTTACAGTATATGCGAAAACATCACTAAGTCCAAGCCAGATTCACAGACGTTTATTTGCTTTTAGCCGAAATGCACTCATATGTGTGATGAGCTCATCATAGTTAAGCTATGAGGGAATCCAAGTCATTTCGGCCTATTTTGGCGTGAGCTTTGGTTGCAAAGCTCGAAACAGTCCGCCCTCAGAAACGCCCCTCACTTACTCGTACACTAACAATTAAAATTTAATAGCACAGTCTACTAAATTGTAACAACACACATCAAAATAAACTAACTGCAAAAGCATCGTAGTTTCGTTAGTTGTTATTTTGCAATAAAAACGTAGTCTTATGTTGTAATTAATTGTATTATACCTATATTGTAGGTACCTACTTAACTAAGTACCTATTTAGAAAATGGTAAGTTAGTGGGCACATGATAGGTTTATTATCAGAAATTCTCTAAAGAACTTATCTTAATCGCTGAAAGTAATAGTATAATACACTGTATAAACTCTAAAATATCATATAAGCTGCTTAAGTACAACTTAAATAAGTTTAACAACAACTGATATAGTTCTCAAGTTGTTTAAATTCAACCGACGTTCTTTAGTCGGCGGGAAGCAGATTGCTACTAAAGTTAGTTTAAAGTCCGTAGTTATGGGAATAAATTTATATTTCGATAAAGTTTGGTAGTAAGTCCGAGGTAATAGCATACTGTCGACAAATCATAATTGAGGATTTATCTTCTCTGGTCGATGCAATCATAGATCCGATTTATGAATCTTTAAAGTCGATTTAAACTCATGCTTAGACTTTAGTCTCTCAGCTGTATTGAATTGACGTAGGTACTCGTAGGAATCTAGAATCGAGAAAAATAGGGCTTATTCCCCGTTGATAATCCCCGTCAACGGGGAATAGTGAACTTTTTGTTCACTAATCCCCGTTAACGTCGTTATATTAGGATTTTATTTTTAACGTAATGGGGATTAACGAACTTTTTAGTTCATTATTCCCCATTATAAGTTTTATAAGCTCCAATTGGCGTTAACGGGGATTAGTGAACAAAAAGTTCACTATTCCCCGTTGACGGGGATTGTCAATGGGGAATAGTGGAATAAGCCAAAAATAGTTGATTTAGGTTAATACGAGTTATAATATTTTATCTACAAACTACATAGTAAATGAGTGAGTTTACGCTGACGTCGTTTACTTACTTACGTTATAAATTAAGCCTATTTTTTATTTGCGTGCCTACCTCTATCGTATCGTAACTTATTACTTATACAAGTTGAATATTTCTAATGCGGTTGGAACAATTATTTTTTTGGATCTTGGTTTTTGCGGTTCGCGTTGAACAACGAAAAGCATATTACCTGTCAAAAGTTAGAGGAAAATACCTATAATTTATTAAATTGTATGGAACCAAACAAACAAATACCTACTGGTAGGTAGAAAAGCAGACAATGTAACAAGAGTAAGATAAATATGTCATCAGTAATTAATATAGATTTATTAATTAATAATGTTACGCTCAATTTAAACAAAAGATAAGAGAAGTTCAAAAGGGTTAATTTCTTATTGGAAATAACATAAATTGAAATAAAAGATAAAGAAAATGCAATGTAAAGGCAGTCGACTTTTTCAAGTTAAAAGCTCATTTTTCTTATTAGTTTAAGTAACTTAACAAAGTAAGGTGGGTGGACCATGGAAGACCACTCTAACGAGTAAACGCTTTTTATTCCTTTATTAACTGGATAAATGAAAAAAACAAATTATCAAATAATAGTTTGTTTTATTGTGTAGAAATATAAATCACTTTTTTTTAACCTAGCTTTAATCAGTATTCATTAAACTTAAGTTTTGTTAAGCTCTTCCAAATGGCCTTGCAAGCAACACGGCTCCAAACAAGGCCAATATTATACATCAGTCGTTCAACTTAAAAATAGAGTTGTAACAATTAAATATTCGCTTTTACTAAAAATACATAATAAGCTCTTTCATTTAAGCAAAACATTAAATGCTCAATATATTTTTATCATTTTTAAAAAACTCAAAGAACATTACTTGAACACCATCGTATAACTAAGAATATATTATTGGAAATTATATAAAACAGTAGTAATGAGTATTATATTGACATCAAATAACTTGCCAACGCGTATTATAATGAAATTAAAAACTTTTTTTTTTACCTCAAATGGCCTTCTTATGGGTCCGTTCTTTGTAAGGCCAAAATGAGTTAATATGAGTTAAAAAGTTTAATAACCCTTGTAAATAAAAATATTATAAATATAAAACATTGTTTTAACTGTAACGGTACGTATTTANTACACTGTATAAACTCTAAAATATCATATAAGCTGCTTAAGTACAACTTAAATAAGTTTAACAACAACTGATATAGTTCTCAAGTTGTTTAAATTCAACCGACGTTCTTTAGTCGGCGGGAAGCAGATTGCTACTAAAGTTAGTTTAAAGTCCGTAGTTATGGGAATAAATTTATATTTCGATAAAGTTTGGTAGTAAGTCCGAGGTAATAGCATACTGTCGACAAATCATAATTGAGGATTTATCTTCTCTGGTCGATGCAATCATAGATCCGATTTATGAATCTTTAAAGTCGATTTAAACTCATGCTTAGACTTTAGTCTCTCAGCTGTATTGAATTGACGTAGGTACTCGTAGGAATCTAGAATCGAGAAAAATAGGGCTTATTCCCCGTTGATAATCCCCGTCAACGGGGAATAGTGAACTTTTTGTTCACTAATCCCCGTTAACGTCGTTATATTAGGATTTTATTTTTAACGTAATGGGGATTAACGAACTTTTTAGTTCATTATTCCCCATTATAAGTTTTATAAGCTCCAATTGGCGTTAACGGGGATTAGTGAACAAAAAGTTCACAAAACTTCAAATATTTCTATCGTTGACTTTCGTCCAATTCTGTAATCAATAGATTATCTTCAGCTTCAGAGGCAAAACATTGTATTGGCTTTAGTCATTCGTGTTTTAGACATGTCCCTAGTGAACGCATGAATTATTTATTATTTACAACGAGGTAAATAAAGATGAGACATTGAAATCTAGAAAGATTTCAAGCGATGGGCCTTGTAAGGAACCATTGGCTTTGCTGGGAACACTACCAATATTTTAACTTAAATCGAGGCAAAACTATTATTTTTTTCTTTAGTACCATAAACATATCCTTATACGACAGTTCACAGTAAAAAAATATGAAATAATAATAGGTTATCTAACTAAAAACGTACGTTTTGCTGTGCGCGCGAATAACAATTGTAACGTCGATGACCGAAGTCCACGAATCGTGAGATCGCACTGCCACAATAGCGACGCGAGCGACTCGCCGCCGCATCTGTGGCCTTAAGTTTGATGGATCTTAGTGTATAGCCGAAGGAATATGTGTTTTCATGTCAATAACTACGACTTTTTGATAGTTGGCCTTCAAAGGAGCGTGGCCTTCCATGGTCCACCCACCTTATAAAAAAATAATTTTAAAAATAATACTAAGTACTTACTTACCTACAGGTAACTATTAAAAATATTTTTTTTTGTACAGGGAAAAGAAACATTTTGTGATGGATCTCAAAAAATTTTGTGATTTTTAATTTTCATGAAGATCTTACTCGAGACTTTTTCCAGTAACTAAGTATAAACTTTGGTCCACGCCCATGTCAAAAATTCATCCTGTATTGCATTGCCATATACTTATGCCGCGCGATAAGTACTTAGTAATTAATTATCTTCATTATGTAGGCATTTAATTATACTTACCTACTTGCTGCGAATAATATTCTCGAAGTCTTGACACAAACAAACTAAGTGCTTTGTGAGAGGGGTGTGCGGCAAATTTTCAGTCAACATGGACGAAGTAGATAATTTAAGGAAAGCTCTGAACATCGTGGCCAAGAAATTGGGAATCAAAGAATGGCGCTACCAGCACAAGATTGCCAATGGAGACGCCTTGAACTTTCTGGGCAACTTGAAACCTGTCTTGTTGATAGACGAATCGACTTCAGAGGAATATCACCTTATCATTAAACTTGCTCCTTACCTACAAGGACTGGAATCCGTAATCAAATTCGCCTACGACAAAGAAGTGTACGTGTATGCTACGCTGTTCCCGATCTACAGAAGCCTGGACACTGGGATCGACTACGAGAAGTTGTTTCCGAAGTGTTACTACGGAGATTCAGATAACCAACTGTTGGTGATGGAAGACATGACGACGCTTGGATTTTTCAATTACGTTGGACAGTATTTAGATAATGACCACATAAATGAGTCACTAAAAGCTGTCGCCCGATTACACGCGCTGTCCATGATTTTAATTGAAAAGAAGATTCATCTACCCAATTATAGTCTTCGACCATTTGTAAGCAGTGATCCAGACTTTTATTTCTCAGTAATGACTTACTGCATGCAGAAACATGCCACGTTATTCCAAAATATGAGTCACTACGATTTATTAGTGAAGCTGCTGAATAATTTTTCGAATAATATGAATTATAGCTCGCTGAAGGCTAGAAAATTGGTGTATGGACATGGAGATTGCTGGAAGGCAAATGTTTTATTCGAATACAGGGTAAGCATTCTTTTTTCGTACTTACTATACGTTACCTGCACTCATATTAGATAGGATTACACAGTTTTAGACAGTTCAACACTTACTAAAAAATATTCCACCTCCTTTTTAAGAGTTCCACATTTCACTGCTGCATAATTAAAATAAACTCAATCAGCAAGATCCCGTTGCTGTGCTGTGCTGTTGTCAATCTATAAACATATAGAAAAGTCTTATTTAAAGCATTAAAGTTAGTACAATTATTTGTATTGCAGAACAAGAAACCAGTGGGGGCCTGCCTAGTCGATTACCAACTCAGTCGGCTGATGAACCCAGCACAAGATGTTCTCTACTTCGTCATGACTTCCACTAACTCCAGCATGAGGGATCAGAAGACCGTCGATTCTTTTCTATCCACCTACTATAACGAACTAACGAATATTCTCCAAAAAAATGGCTTAGACTCAAAAATTTTATACTCCGAAGAGGATTTCCAGCACGATTTAAAAGAGGTATTTCCTATATGCTTTAATGTAGCGTTTGTATCTTTCACGATGTGGTTAGGCCTTGAAGATATGAACTCCTTACATTTTAGAACGGAGAAGGATATTCTTGAAGACAAACGCAAGGAGATTGAAAGTCAACTGACGAAGATTCTATGGGAATTATTGATAGACTTTAAGGCTTTGGGTTTTTTAGACGAGTAAAATAACAACTCAAGCAGTTCGCAAACAAACGGCCAAACATTATAGCAATTGAGTTATTTGTGAACGAACATTGGTTAGAGGGGAGGAGTAACCTGTACGTACCTACTTATTGATGATATTATTTAGTTAGTTACTTACCCAATAAGTATTCTTGTTGAGAATCAAAGTGAGCTGTTCTCAAACTTGTCTTAGTCTTGCTGTAATAATATAACCAGTTCAAAAATACAGTTTTTCATTATAAATCTCCTGTAGGGTTCGAAGTTAGGCTCAACTTAGACCTACGGGGAACATATGTTTTTTTTTTTTTTTTCCATAGGTCGCTGGTTCAAATCCGGCTCGAAGGACCATATAAATCTCCTGTAGGGTTCGAAGTTAGGCTCAACTTAGACCTACGGGGAACAAACTCTCTGTCTGTATCGGTATTTTTATTTAGTTCAACCAGTAGGTAACTTATCTCGTCTCATCAATCTAAAAGCTGCAAATCTAATGTAAATACATTAATTATTTACAAAATAAATCATCTATTTACAACTTACTTGCATTTTTACTTCGATGTTGATAGAACCTACTGTTAATAACAAAAGAAAATTAGTTATAAGAAGTTGTATTTAGAGGTTCGAAAATACTACACCTATTTTACTAAAGAAACTGATTTTGAAAATCGATGGCTCCTACGTATAAAGACGAAACTACGTATAAGCAATGATTTCCCTTTGCTCTAATCTATAACATCAGCAAGAAAAAAATTTTTTTTTCCATTAGATACAAAATAAAATTTTAGGCAAATAGGTAGGCGTATGTGCAAAACTACGCCACGTATAAAGCCCAATCATTCGATTCTCCCATCTATTCGAGTAGTTGCTTACATAAAAATATATTTTTTATAATCTTAATCTATACTTATAATAAATCTGTAGAGAGGTCAATTCTGTACATGAAATATATTTTCAAAATAACTTTCAGGGGGTGATTAGTGATCGATACTGATGCCAAAAATGCAATCAGTAAAATTTTTGTCTGTCTGTCTGTCTGTCCGTCTGTATGTTCCTTATAGAAACAAAAACTACTCGACGGATTTTAACGAAACTTGGTACAATTATTCTTCATACTCCTGGGCAGGTTATAGTAGGGGAGACCTAGGAGAGTTGTGACAATTTTTACTCTAGGGGCCATATCTCGCTCAAAAAACATTCCACAGCTATGAATCATACAAATTAATGTAGCGCCGTTCCTTCTGTTTTCAAAACAATCACCAAAGTTAACTAAAGTATTAGGGTTTCTAAGAAAATCACCAAAATCTTAGACCACTCTCTCTGTCACAACTCTCCTAGCACCGAGGTAAGTTGTGACAGGTACCGAGGTGAGTTGTGACAGCATTGTATTTCATCTATTGGACATAAAAATACCATAATACTCAATCAAATATGATTTTTTAGCAAAAAAGTACTTTAATCATCATTTAGTAACAATTAAAACAAATAGTTACAGGATGTCGTTACACAGATTGAGCCACATTTCTCCGGCTTTCATTTTTCTCCCACACTAGATTTTTTTAATTATATTTTTTAGCTAATATAGTTACTTAATATATTTTCTTCCTCTTCTGTAAAAATAAAATAGTCGCGGTGGCATAATCCATGGACGGAGCTTCGCCTTCTGGGTTTACTTGATAAGCCTCTTTCTTCTTAATATGTATATCTTGACAAGTTTAGATTGTAAGAGGTCGCAGCATATTATCTTAAACTTTAACCCTTTTTAACCTATCACTTCATAAGCTAGGTCCTATATTTCGACTCCAGCAAGCAGTTCCTCTATATGGCATTCATGTATAGTTATTAGGCAATCAGAATCAAAAAACTAGCAGCAGGCGATTATACAAATTATGAACCTACTAACACACAAAAAAAACATCTAAAAATATCGTGGAAATCGCCCATCAGAAAAATTAAGTAAGCTAGGAGAGTTGTGACAGGCTTTCACAACTCTCCTAGGTGTTTAAAATGACGACTTGGTTCGAATAATATTTTTTATTTTCTAAACACGATGCGCACACAAAATATCAGTGCTACATTTTGAGACCTGAATAACCATGCAACTTAAGAAAAAATAACACAACAGTGCACATTATACTAAAACATGATATAAACTTAAATAAAATTATGACGAAAAACTTACTTTTCGCATTTTTTTGTACACAGACGTCATATTTACGTAACCGAGCCTCTAGCGCCGCCCGCAGGTCATTTTTTTTTTTTTTTTATGCTATCCAAGGCAGGTATTTGACCGCAATCGCACCTGGTGTTAAGTGAGATGCTTAGTCAAGAAGAGCGTCTTAAAAGCGACAAACAAACGTTTTTACCAGCTTCCTAACTATATTAAGTAAGGAGAAATCGTCCTTGTCACAACTCACCTCTGTCACAACTCTCCTAGGTCTCCCCTATACTTAGGAATTCCCACGAGAACAGGAACTAGCGGGAAAATCCTTTTGTATGAAAAATCTAAACCGCTTAAGTTAGACGCTTGAAATTTGGTATGTAGGTACCTTAGTAAACTTAAAGCTTAGTTACAACAAGGAATTCCCGAAACTCCCGCGGGAACGCGAATTCGCGGGAAAAGCCTTTTGTATGAAAAATCTAAACCGCTTAAGTTAGACGCTTGAAATTTGGCATGTAGGTACCTTAATAAACTTAAAGCTTACTGACAACAAGGAATTCCCGAAATTCCCACGGGAACGGGAATTTGATGGAAAATCCTTTTGTATGAAAAATCTAAACCGCTTAAGTTAGACGCTTTAAATTTGGCATGCAGGTACCTTAGCAAACTTAAAGCTTAGTTACAACAGGATATTGCAAAATTCCCACGGGAACGGGAGTTAGCGGTAACAAACATTTGTATAAAAAAATCTAAGCCGCGTAAGAACGGGATCCACGCGTACGAAGTCGCGGGCGGCCGCTAGTCTTAAATAAAGCCATGAAAATTTTTTAGCAAATTGTTTTATTTATAAATTATGACACATTATACAGTAATTTAATTTTAGCGTTAGGAGTCGCATCTCAAACTAATTTGAAAATTATAAATAACTTGAAAAAAAACGAACTGCCTAAGGCATCGTGGGTTCAATTCCCGCCTTAGGCAGTTCGATTTTTTCAAGTTATTTATATTTTTTAAAAATATGACACATTATGTTAAAAGACCTAACTAAATCTTGAGCACAGTATATGGGCGTATTTGCGTTAAAACGTAATAACGATACATTAAACAACTTTTTCTAACTGATTTATTTATTGATATAGCTCATGATAACAATAAAATAATTACATGCATAAATAAAGAGAGTAATCGCTTAAAATATTATATTTACGTTGTCATTTAAGTCTCTTTACGTTGAAAAATATACATAAAATTATAGAAAGGTTTCGATGGCCCCTACCGAAATATGGTGCAGTCCTGTTGTCCCCCCTGGCTAGGGGAGACAACAGGACTGGATTTTCAATAAATGATTTGAGGACTGTGTAAACATTGGGTATTTAGAAGCCATTTATTTTTATAACATAATTTGTGAAAAACTTGACTGAATACCATATTGCCAAACTAAATACCTAAACGTATGTCAAATAATAATTAAAACATTTTGTTAACGAAAAAAATAGAAGTGAAAACACATTAACTCCATACGGTCACTACGAGTACAAAAGAATGCCTTTGCCTTGCCTCTAAAAGACACAAACGCCATTGTGGCTCTTTAAAATTCCATACATCGATAAAATCGAGCGCCAATTATTTCCCTGGAATAAGGCCCTTATGGAGGTAGTGGCTTTTTTCCACGGGAGATTCTGTAGGTATGAGATTGTGGCTTTTGAATAAAGTGGAATATCTAAATAAGTATTGAACTTTTTAATACAATTGTTTTACTGAAAGGTGTATTAAGGAATGAAGAATTAAAAAATGAAATAAAAGAAAAAAACCCTAATGATCATTGGGGCAGTCTTCGTCGGGTACGACGATATTTATATGAACAAATTAGTATACATTCTAAAATTTCCCTTAGTCATAAATGATTTTACTTTATATCACCTGTAAATTCCATTCCTATATTCCATCCTGATTCATCCTTATATTCTACTATCCTTCCCGAGCGAACTTACATTGCCACTAGTACTACAAGGCAACAGTATGCAATCACAAACTCACTGGTTGATTGCAAGACCTTTACATCGAACACGAAAGTCTGCAAATTCATCGTTTACAACGTCAACGCAAGACCGACCTGCGAAATGTCGATCCTGAGCTCCACTTCAAGAAATGTTCCTGACATCTGCGAAGTCGCAACTTTCTCAGCCTACATCAACACGTTCCAAGAAATCAAGTCGAATAAGTGGATCTTCATCCTACAACATAAAACTCCATATGCATTGAAATGCGGCGACAAAACCACCCATGGTGAAATATCCGGGACAGGCATCATTTCGCTAGAAGAGAATTGTAAAATGTATACAGCGTTAACGACACTCTCAGCTGAAAACGGGAAGACGTACAACACCAGCCATCCTATCATAACTGTGGATTTAGAAACCATTTGTATTCCAGAATACTCCAAACAAGAACCATCACTGGAGTTAATACCCATAAAAATTAACAACATTCCACTAGACTCACTGAAAACATTAAAAGAAGAAATTAAGATACAGACGAAACACATAAATCAAAAGGAAATCTTCATAGAAAAACATTCGTCAAAATTTTCCTATATCAGTTTTATAATTGGATTTACTACTAATATTCATGTTTTAAATGCTGCAAGATCAACATATTCAAGATGTTCCGCACAAACTTTACACGTCATCGTAGCGGGTGTATACAAATTTTTAATAAGTAACTGTTTCGACAGACCTCAACGACGACAGCATGTACAGATACCCATGGCTTCACTTCATCATACAACAACTTCTATATCTGAAGACGAAGACGAATCGCCCACTGCAACGCCCAATCCTCAAACCTTGGGCAAAACCGCCCAATCTTTGTTCTAAGGTAAGGGGGGAGGTGTTAGATAATAGCATTTAGAATAAGTACTTCATATTGTAATTACTATCCCAAGTAGCATTCGGGGTTATATACAGGGTGGAAACGATAAGTGATCTCACTCGATTATTTCTAAACTATACAAGATATCGAAAAACTGATTGCTGATCCTGAAAGTGCTTCACAAGCTCTTTCAAACGGTACCAATAATAGGTTACAGAATAAACTGGAACTATTCGAAAATTCAATGTTTCTAGCTTCCATACTAAATGTATGCCAGCCACACAATATTAGAAGTGTAATTTATTTTTTGTTTAATAATAAACTTAAAAAGTCGGTTAAATAAACTCGTAACTTGCATCTTATTTAAAATTATTTGTTGAAAACATTAGTATTAGGCTTTACTTGCTATAATATTATCAAGATAATGAGTGCCATGCCACTGTGATAGTACTAAATGTATGGAAGATGGAAACATTGAATTTTTGGATAGATCCAATTTATTCTGTAAGAAATTGTTGATACCGTTGGATAGAGCTCATGAAGCACTTTTAGGATTAGTAACTAGTTTTGCGATATCTTGTGTAGTTTTTAATATTATGTAACTTTACCAAATGTATGGAAGCTGGAAACATTGAATTTTCGGATAGTTCCAGTTTATTCTGTAACCTATTATTGGTACCGTTTGAAAGAACTCGTGAAGCACTTTCAGGATCAGCAACTAGTTTTTCGATATCTTGTATAGTTTAGAAATAATCGAGTGAGATCACTTATCGTTTCCACCCTGTATAGCATGTCTAGTCGTTCACATGTACTCCACAAGCTGTGTATGTCAGCTGTATACGAGCTGTATAGCTTGCTATAATGCTTTTATAGAACCAGTTTGGGCACAAATTAGACAGCCTTAAGTTCACTATGGCTGTACATGAGCAGTATAATAGCAGTTTAAGTAGTAACATCGGACTTAAGGCTGACTTACGGCACTATATGGGACGCAGTGTGAACTATACAACGTAAATGAGTGTAATAAAGAGTAACAAGTGGCTAAATGCACAGCTTTCAAAGTCCGACAAAAGTACTCCAATGCCACCTAAAGTTCACGTGTGTCCTAAATTATTTCCACATTTTAATATTAGTTTGGTATTTGTACGTGAGTGCCAAGAGGGAAACAACTCGGGCTGATAATCATTTATGCAAATAATAACACGGGTTTTAAATACTTAATAATGTTAATGCCATTGGGAATGCAACTTTATCGTGAAATGTATATACATATTTACAGCTAAAATATTTACGCGCCTCTGTAAAAACGCGATATTAATTTTAAAATATTTAAAACTGGCTGAGAGGAAATCTACAATTTTCCGTTTTTGATATTGTATTGGCATTATAATTATACTACGGTAATTAATTATAACATGAAACCAAAACTCAATCACTCTATCTGCGAAATTTGTGATAAGTCTGCATTAATTTTGGAGATTTATTTGGTAAATATTTTAGGTTATGTAGAACAAAATGGTGGAAATGAAATACGGCTATGTGAACTGTTATAACTCCAATTTAATGCGGTGAGCGTATATTAGGTTCACATGTGTTCTGTTAGAATGCTGTTATCTATATGCAGTTCCACATTTGTACCACTACAGCGCTAACGTCTATAAATTTATTCTAATGTGAACTTATGTACAGCTTTAAGATGTACCTAGTTCAGGTCAATTGTGTATCTTTAATTCTTTCAAATACTGAAATTTTAGAGATCCGCAATAAAAATTATTAATGTCCGTTTAATCGCCTAGGCCAGGTACTAATAGTCAAGTATGAATACCTAAAGCATCAGACGGTAGTGTTCCCGGTTTAAATTCGTTTATTATGCCTGACATTTATTCAAAGCGGAATGAGGAATACGATTTTCAATAGCCCATGTTCTTATTTTTTTGCGAAATGTTAAATAATTGTCCAAATCAAAATTGTATTCACTATCACTAGAACTGCAATCATCACACTCTGATATCTGTATATTTTGAAGGGAACTTTCAGGTTCAGGTATAATATTTTCTCTGCATCATGTACAGAACCACCATGAACAACTAAAAACAGGCTTGGGGAAAAGTGTAATAGAATATCACATTCACATTCATGTTCAGCTTAAAGCAAATAAGATTAGTACTTGTGGACAAATAAACTGCTATTGATGTTAATGGACAACACATAATAGTCCTTTTAACAGCCTACAGTGCACATGCGAACCATTGAAACACTTTTGTACAGATAGTAAAAAAAGGTTATTTTAATTATCACAAATATCTAAGTCCTACTACAACTGTATAACAGTCTAAAACAAGTAAACATAACAGCCTTTGGCTTTATAAATGACCACATGTGTTCTATTAAAATGCTAGCTCTATAACATCGTACAAGTAGACCGTTAAACAGCGGTTGCCGTATCTCTACCCTCCTATAATGCTGACTAAAGGATAGTTGTTAGAGTATTATAACACCAACAATCGTATAAAAGTATAACTCTACACTCCTATAAGTCCCTTAGACAGGTATAGGTGTAATCACCACGAGTGAACTGTACTAATGCTTTAAGTACACATTGGAACTAAATGTGAACTCTTAAATGGAGTAAAATGCTACTTGGGATTTGTTTGTATGTATGTAGTACACTAATTAATTAACTATCTTTATTCTTAAATGATTTGTTTACCATTCCCATTATTTAATTGTATCATTACTTAATGATTGTTTACTATTCTCACGATAACGACTTTACTCATAAGTGTATCCCCACCATTCCCGAATCCTTAAATACCCAAAACTCCTTAGTTCTAGTTCAGTTGTATTAGTCGTATCCTAAATCTCATTGTAACCAGTTGTACTTTTAAAGTTAGTTTTTAAAAAGCCTAGTTTTGCTTTCACTACGTAACAGGGGTGTGCGGCCAATTTTCAGTCAATATGGACGAAGTGGAAAATTTAATGAAAGCTTTGAACATCGTGGCCAAGAAATTGGGAATCAAAGAATGGCGCTACCAGCACAAGATCGCCAATGGAGACGCCCTGAACTTTCTGGGCAACTTGAAACCTGTCTTGTTGATAGACGAATCGACTTCAGAGGAATATCACCTTATCATTAAACTTGCTCCTTACCTACAAGGACTGGAATCCGTAATCAAATTCGCCTTCGACAAAGAAGTGTACGTGTATTCTACGCTGTTCCCTATCTACAGAAGCCTGGACACTGGGATCGACTACGAGAAGTTGTTTCCGAAGTGTTACTACGGAGATTCAGATAACCAACTGTTGGTGATGGAAGACATGACGAAGTTCGGATTTGTCAATTACGTTGGACAGTATTTAGATATTGACCACATAAATGAGTCACTAAAAGCTGTCGCCCGATTACACGCGCTGTCCATGATTTTAATTGAAAAGAAGATTAATCCACCTAATTATAGTCTTCGACCATTTGTGAGCAGTGATCCAGACTTTTACTTCTCAGCAATTACTTACTGCATGCAGAAACATGCCCCGTTATTCCAAAATATGAGTCACTACGATTTATTAGTGAAGCTGCTGAATAATTTTTCGAATAATATGAATTATAGCTCGCTGAAGGCTAGAAAATTGGTGTATGGACATGGAGATTGCTGGAAGGCAAATGTTTTATTCGAATACAGGGTAAGCATTCTTTTTTCGTACTTACTATATGTTACCTGCACTCATATTAGATAGGATTACACAGTTTTAGACAGTTCAACACTTACTAAAAAATATTCCACCTCCTTTTTAAGAGTTCCACATTTCACTGCTGCATAATTAAAATAAACTCAATCAGCAAGATCCCGTTGCTGTGCTGTGCTGTTGTCAATCTATAAACACATAGAAAAGTCTTATTTAAAGCATTAAAGTTAGTACAATTATTTGTATTGCAGAACAAGAAACCAGTGGGGGCCTGCCTAGTCGATTACCAACTCAGTCGGCTGATGAACCCAGCACAAGATGTTCTCTACTTCATCATGACTTCCACTAACTCCAGCATGAGGGATCAGAAGACCGTCGATTCTTTTCTATCCACCTACTACAACGAACTAACGAACATTCTACAAAAAAATGGCTTAGACTCAAAAATTGTATACTCCGAAGAGGATTTCCAGCACGATTTAAAAGTGGTTTTTCCCATGTGCTTTAATGTAGCGTTCCTATCTTTCACGATGTGGTTAGGCCTTGAAGATATGAAGTCCTTACATTTTAGAACGGAGAAGGATATTCTTGAAGACAAACGCATGGAGATTGAAAGTCAACTGACAAAGATTCTGTGGGAATTATTGATAGACTTTAAGGCTTTGGGTTTTTTAGACGAGTAAAATACTTACAACTCAAGTAAGTAGTTCGCAAACAAACGGCCAAACATTATAGCAATTGAGTTATTTGTGAACGAACATTGGTTAGAGGGGAGGAGTAACCTGTACCTAGGTACTTATTGATGACATTATTTAGTTACTTACCCAATAAGTATTCTTGTTGAGAATCAAAGTGAGCTGTCCTCAAACTTGTCTTTAACTCTCTCTGTATCGGTATTTTTATTTAGTTCAACCAGTAGGTAACTTATCTTGCCTCATCAATCTATAAGCTGCAAAACATGTTACATTAATTTTATTTACAAAATAAATGATATTTACAACTTACTTGCATTTTTACTTCGATGTTGATAGAACCAGATAGAACCTACAAAAGAAAACCTAGTTGTAAGAAGTTGCTATTCGATTAAACACGAAAGAATGCAAAATAAATTTCGAAACTTGATGCGTGATTTCCCGCCAAGAACCTTTTTTTGGTTCGATACTTTTCATTTGCAGGCAAAGGCAAAGGCATTACGCCTTACAGCCAAGGCTTCACTTTTTATTTTTCTTAGTTAATTAAATAATGTAATTAATGGTCTTAGAGAATTAAATATTCCTGTATGTGAATGGTAGATGATATGTTTCCCTTTCCTTTTGAGTTTCAGTAAAGCTTGCAAATAACATAAACTTAATTGGTTATTCAAACTCATCTCCTCTCCTCTCCGCTTTGGTCGAAACCGGGCCTAAGTGTATTGTTTTACTCATTAACGTCCTGCTGATCATTAAATAAATTAAAAATATTATTTTATTTGCTACTTTCATAAAAGTTTAAAAGTGCGATTCGGAACGTTATTTCGTGTAATTTGACATTGACAACCAAAAAAAAAAAAAAAATTGACATTGACATTTGACTGACAATTACATCAGCTGTTTGTGTTTTGGTTTTGGCTTTTTTCTACATTCGCAATTTTATTTTTATTCTAAAAAAATTACTAGTTAATAAAAAAGAGTTCGGAATTCTGTGAGCTAAAAATGTCAGTGACGTCCGAAGAATACATTCGCAGCATCCTAGACGTGATCGCTTCAATTTGTAACCTGGAAAGCTATGAATACTCCCGAGAAAGTTTTAAAACTATTGCGCAGAATTACTTCGGTGTACTTGTTCCAGTTAGTTTAACAGCCAAAAATGATGGGAAGATGGTGAACATAAACTTGGTACTTAAATTGGCGCCGACCGACGAAAGATACCGGGTCAGCGGTGCAGTAGGTGTCATGTTTTCGCGCGAAATTTATGTGTATTCAACGTTGCTGGCAAAATACCATAGAATTCAGGAAAGTTTTCCTTTAAAGGACCATTATTTGATGCCTACGTGCTATTACATCTGTAAGGAATATTGCAAAGAAGCTATAGCTATGGAGAACATGTGTTCGCGAGGTTTTACTCCTTACACACAAAGTCCCTTCTTGGATTATGCTCATATCGCCGTCTCACTTAAATCCTTGGCCAAGTTTCATGCATTGTCATTTATATTAAAGGAAAATGAACCAGAAACATTCAAAGAAGTTGAGATAGTCTGTGTGCCATTCACTCAAGAAACAAATAAGAGATTTATGGAAATAATTTTAGATAGATTACAAAAAGCAATTGAAAAATTTAATGGCACTGGATACGTAGAAGTCTTGAATGAACTGAGGTCTAATTGTGGCATGTATGTGGAAGCTGCTGCTTCCTCCATACAAAAACCGTGTATTTGTCATGGTGATATTTGGAAAGAGAATATTCTTTTTAAATATGAGGTAAACACTGATTTAATTAATTGAATATTATGATTAATGATATTTACATAATTTCTTGTCACATATTAAATATTTTTTAGTAACAAAATTTCTTTTTTTCAGGGTCAGAAGCCTACAAATGCATGTCTTATTGACTATCAAACGGTGAGAATAAGCAGTGCGGCATATGACACATTATTCCTAATCACCACCAGTACCAATTCTCATTTGCGCAAGAAACATTACTACGAACTTTTAGATTTATATTACAATACATTTGATCAAATTCTCAGAGATGCCAATCTGGTTCCCCAACAAGTGTATTCTAGGCAAATGTTTGACCAAGATTTGAAGACTGTTGGTCCAGCCTGTTTTATTATTGCGAACACCGCTCTGTGGTTGTCAAATGGTCTTCAAGAAGTGGGACATGTCCGTAGCAAACAAGTTTTTGAATCTCACGAAGAAAAAGAAGAGGCTGTGAATAGGTATAGGAGTATAATTCAAAGTATCATCGAAGATTATAGAAGTTATGGATACTTATCTTTATAAAATTGTGCCATGTTGGATAAAATTTAATTTGTTATACTAACAATATTACAGGCTTAAAAAATTTTATTGAATTTATTATATTTTTGTTAATAAAGTTTTTGTTATTATAACTTTTGCATTATGATTTATGTGGATTCTGAACTTATGTAGGAAATGTTTTGCATACAAAATAGGCTATTTATGTATTTGAACCTTTATTTCATACAATATCAGAGTGAAAAAAAAACAAACTTAATGCCTTATGGCACTCTGTTCCAGGCAACTAGGTATAGTAGACTATTTTAGAATTTATTTTGGCTTACTAAAATAGGAGATATATTTCATCATAAGGGCCCTTGCTCATATTCCCAATGGTCTAATAGTCACTAGATAGTGGCATAGTAATGAGTTAGGGTTCTATTTGCACTACTTTCCAGTGAAATTGTCCGGTTTAAGTGCACCGCCATTCTGAACTTAAACGATGCATATTTAGTCGGCACTAGTGTCGCCACCTGTCGGATGGTTTGTGGATACTTGGAGGACTAATTTATAGTGTCCGATCGAATATGGATTTTCAGCCGAAAACGAAAACGTAAACGAAGCTTCGGCTACAGTCTCATTTTCGGCCGAAAACGAAAACGAAAACGAAAATGACCTTCAACTGTCAAACAATGTTTTCGATCAAATATCCATAATTTTCGATGCTTTTACACTTTTGAATCGTTTAAGTACTTAGTCTTGTAAACAATATGAAACAATAATTATGTAAAATCTTCGAAAACCGTAAATATTTTGACAAAAAACATATTGTTTGACAGTTGGCGGCATTGAAGTAATATTACTACGTATAGAACAGACATCGCGAACAAAATATGTACAGTGCGGGGTGCGGGGCGGGAATTTGACGGACAGCTGTCAATCAAATCCATGACTATCAAGTTTCATAATTTATGGCGATAAAATCTGCACCAGAAAATGTCGTACTTCATTGATAGGATTGCACGAATAGTGACGTTCCTGCGGTCGCCTCATCATAGACATTGTGAATCGATTGTGAAAATATGAACAAATCNGGACACACTGTATAAATTTTTTTAAGAATACTTAGGTTAAAACTTAGATTACATAGGTACTACAAGTAGCTCCTCGGTTAAGTCATATGTCAAACATTGAAGATACTTAAATACGGCTATTTTACAGTAAATATAAATTTAGGGCATATATGTTAAGAGTCTTATTTAATTTATTGTACAGAAACGGACCGAGGAAAGTAAAAAATCTATTTGTATAAATAAATTTGGAGATGGATTGCGAAGTGCAGACTATGTCTTTCCGTCTTTTATTAGTCCGATGATTACTATATATTTTTAAGCTTATTATATGAGCATAAATAATAGATACAGGACTTTGAAAATGAGACTGCGGCAATTTTTTCGTAAAATGGTTGTGGGAGATGGGGCACTGTGAATTAAGCAAAAGAGTTTTAGTAAATCCGTTTCATTAATGATCAACAACAAGGATTGATCTACCTTTCGCAGTTATTAAATAATCTCTGGGTGTTGCTTAAGATAGTAATTCATGCTTCCAAAATCTTAGAAATTCGCACGAAAATGTAAAATGGCTCTTAATGAGAACTCTTAGACTTTATTTGTATTTAATTTTGAACTTGAAAAATTCCCGCAGGACACCCTTACAACATAATATTAACCTCTTCACACTTTATAACTTCAAAACAGTGTGACAATACCGCGTCCGTTCAAGTCTGATTGGAACCATGAGTGCACCCGATTCACTTCGAAGATATCCGATCGTCATACGTCACCATGTTATTCACGTATTTTTGATATTCGGTTTGGCCGAAGCTTCGGCTGGTTTTTGGCCGAAAACGAAAATATGGCCGAATGTCCATTTTTTGGCCGAAAATGGCCTTAAACGAAAACGAAAACGAATATTCGGTCGGTCACTACTAATTTATCTTCAAAGTTCGTACAAGTTTAGTTTCTAACAGTTCGCGCCATTATTGTACTAGTTGTTGCTCATGGTTCCGCTTGAGTGGTCTTCGTTTTAATTATAGCGAGACTGACGTGCGACTTCGTCAGTTGCTTGGATGAGGATGAGATAACAGTCATTTAGACCTATTTTAGGTACTTATTATCTTATCACGAACTTCAGAACTCTACTCCAGAAGTCACTTATTTTAACCATCTTCGCAATGTCAGATTTTTTTTGACGTCGTTCTATCTGAAATCAAGAAATCTATTCGTAAGAGTTAACTAGGTTCTTTTGAATGGGTATAATTTTAGTGTGGTATCCAATTTCGTTAGATTCCGATACAATTTTGTAGTATATTGAGTAAACAAATGCAGAGTTATGAAGGAATATCTAAGAATTAATCCATAAGTTTACACTTTTACAGTCACCCTACCGACACTACTCAGTTTCAAGATTGAAATAAATTCTCTCCGCCTGGAATCACTGTTTGCTGATGCTGAATGGGGCTAATTTACCTAACTTAAGTGCTTTTTATTTATCATTCGACGACCCTCCGCCGTTTTCATTTTTTCTAGTGCCATCAAATTAATTGGCCCTTTTTGTGCAACTTAAGTTAAAAAGGGAATGTTATGAATTAAAAATGCTAGGGAAATCACTGAGTGGCTGCGGGAAAGAGTGAAAAGAAAACGCGTTAATTTTTAAATAAAATATAAATGATTTATTGCATTTTTTCTTAATCGGAGTGCGTTAACTTATGCCAGTTTCACAGCCATACCTACTTGTGTGATGCCTTGTATTGGTATTTATCTTGTTTTTATTTTTTTTTCTTCCATTATTATGTGCCACTGTCATGTCTATGTAATTGCCTGTCTTTGTGTGATGTCCATTGTAATAAATGTATCTTTCTTTATTTGTGAAAAGAAACACAAATATGGTACCTATACTTTGTTGACCGAAGTTATTGAATTTAAGCTAGTTTCATCCCTTTGATCCTTCGTTAAAAACGACAGTCCTTAGCCCAAGTGGTAAGACCCAATCGTTATACTCGTACTTTACAGGAAAAAACATACTGTTTCAGTACTGACCTGACTTAGGGTGAGAGGTTGTTTGCGGGATAACGCATGTTAACTACTTACGATTTACTTAATTCAGAAAATTCCACAATTTTTCCCTTCTGGATCTTTTCAGCGTTATCTCTTTATCCGCAAATGAAAACTGAGGCCAGTTTAAATGATGGCGTTACAAATCTTCCGTATTGTTAGGCGCCGGTTTGTATCAGGCGTTGAAAACTTGTTTTGTAATAAATTCAGCGTTACAAAGGTGAACTTATCTCCCTTTTGTTATCTCGTAACTGCTTAACTAAAGCCATTATAATAAAACCGTCAACTGAAGTACTAACAACAATTTCCTTCGGTCCGAGGTCCCAGTGACTGCAAATTTTCACAAACTACTTACTTATTAATTTGTTTGGATCTAGGAGTTTCTTGAGTAATTATGCCTAAATAACGGCTTTTTGAGGGTTAGGTATAGTATAGGCTTAACATTAAACAGCAACCGTGTACTAAATTATTTCACAATAAATTAGTAGATAATTTATAGTCAACGGACTTTTAAAGGCCATTTTATGCTCTACATTTTCTTGAATTTTACTGAGCTAATAATATTTAGCAGTTATCTGTAACAAGAACGTTTGTAGTACATACATGTATCTACTGTACTACTTATAGCTGTTTTTGGTTAGTTAGTAGGATGGTGCAAATGCGGCGTCCTTTTGAAATTTATGGTCATAAATCTGTAACTTTACATACATTATGACCAGCAACAGTATGTATGGCACACTGCCAAAGTAAGGCTTCATTCTGAAATACAATAGTATCGCTTGGTATCGTTGTTGGGCCCAATTGTACCTAGGTACCGGTTAAATAATTTTATGGAAGTATATTTTTATTATTGTAATAAAGTAATTCGGTGACTGAAAAATCCCATCCCGTTAGCCTAGTTTAAGTAATTACCTACTCACCTACAAGCTGTATCGTTCCTGTTAAACTAGCGCACAGCACATGTTTTCATTCAAAAGATGGTGTATGTATATCCACAGAAATTCAATCCCGACCCACTTGGACATTTCGAACAACAATGTGCCTAACTAAATAATCCATCCCAACTAATATTATAAATGCGAAAGTAACTCTGTCTGTCTGTCTGTCTGTCTGTCTGTCTGTCTGTCTGTCTGTCTGTCTGTTACGCTTTCCCGCTTAAACCTCGCAACCGATTTTGATGAAATTTGGCATAGAGATAGTTTGAGTCCCGGGAAAGAACATAGGATAGTTTTTATCCTGGTTTTTGAAACAGGGACGCGCGCGATAAAGTTTTTCTGTGACAGACAAAATTCCACGCGGGCGAAGCCGCGGGCGGAAAGCTAGTAAGATATAACACAATATGGTGCTTCTTAGGGTGCCATCACACTGGACGGTTTGCGTCCTTCCCCTTTATTCTTTTGAATAAATAGATTCTGTTCTTATTTCGTTTCGAAGTTGCAGCGCTGTTAACCAGAGGTGTGAATCACAATTTTTTTGTTTGGCCAGGCCTGGCTCACTCAGCGCGGTACATCCGATAATTACCTACAGCGAAGCGCCCCGCCGGCGGGTATTATATCAGTTTAAATTCGAAAAGTAATCTACCGGATTTATCTTTTTTTTTTCGCTTCCCAAAGATGCTGAAAGGTATGTTGGCCATGTAGGTAATCAATAATTCTTAGGATAGTATAGGAACCTAACCTACTATGAAGGTTTTCCATAATGAATGCATACTTACCTACATACGTACCTCATTACAAATAAGTAGATTAATTATTTTTTTCACTAGACAGCAACCCTAACAGCGTAAGAAGAGTTCAGAGGCACGCGATAGAAAGAGACAAAACTTGTAGGTGAATAAAATTGTAGGTACGTAGTGCTGTGCGAGCTGAATTCCACTGTATCGCGTCGTAGCAAGACTCGCATTTATTTAAATCGTCTTGCGGAGTAATCCTTCTGTACCTGTACTATTACTTATTCTGTGGTTTGGCCTTGAAAACGCACGCACGAATGCGTACAACGAAGTGAATGT